AGTACATTTAGACACCTAATAATTTTAGAGGGATGTTAAAACTTGTATAACTTCTCGACATAGTTTAAATACATATAATGGAGTAAATTAAACTAGTAATGTAGTAGGCCTAGATATATACATGTCATATAATGGAGAAAATGTAAACTGGTAATATAATAGGTCGAGATATATACAGTTCATATAATAAAGGGCAGGTTTGAATTCATGTGGTCAGTTTTCTAACCATTTGCAATTCATGACAGCATGAAAACTAAACCATTTCCTCTTTAATGACGTCATTTATGACCAGATAAATGGAATCCCTGCATGGTCCAACAATAGCCAATAGTTTTGTATGCTGTCATATAATGAAATAAATTCAAACCGGTAATATATTAGACCTAGATATATACAGGTCTTTTATATGCTTATATAGTGTTGTACATGGAACATATCTGTTGTAATTATTGTTTCATTTTATAATAAATAAGTGGTGTCTAAATGTCCTACCTCGTCATTTTTTAGGTGTCTAGTTGTCTTAAATTCGGCAGCCCTTGAAGGAGGCTTAACTTAGTTCTAAATCCATAAGCTAACAATGCAGAATAATCATTATAATAAAATAATAATAATGAAATTAAATTACAGATAATACAATAAGATATATCAAGTATTCCAACCTACAATGTATGTTCCAACTGTGGTAATATTTAAATCGATGACCAAGTAAGAACTACTACATCATGGTAAAAGTTATACTTGACTCAGTCAAGGTTAATTATCAAAATATATGCTAAGTTAACAATGTGAAATAATATAACAAAAACTATAAAACTAAAATTAGTACTAAGTTTTAGTTTGTTTTAGCACAAAGGTACACGAGGGCTATCGATCTGTGCTAGCTATCTGACATTTAGCAGTGATAGACTAGAGGGAAGACATCTAGCCAATACCACTCACCGTCAATTCTTGGGCTACTCTTTAACAATGAATAGTGGGGTTGACCATCACATTATAATGCCCCTACGTCTGAGCATGTTCGGTGATGGAGATTCAAACCCGAGACTCTCATATTGCGAGTCAAGCACTTTAACCACCAGGCCACACATCATGGAGAATCATTTGTGTCAGATTACAGAAAAATAAAAAATTGTGCTGTGTACTTTGGTGCATTATAAAGGCGACAGTTAAATCTCACTATTCAGCTGTACAAGAGTAGTCCAAGAGATGGTGCTGTTGACTAGTTATCTTCCCTCTAGTCTATCAATTCAAAATTAAGGATAGCTAGCATGGATAACCCTTGACTAGTTTATTTTTTATATACTTAGGTAAAAGATCAATGTAATAAGTCAGTCAGCTTATTGGAAGGAGCAATACTAAAATTTGTACCTCGGGTGAGTTTTCTTAATTACATAGGTGTTACCTATATACATTTTGTATTTTCAGCTACCTTTTTGTTTGTTTATACAGGGTATTATTCTTACTTTTTGATATTGTTTTCCTACCCAACAGGAGTGATTATCACTGAGAAGTTCCTTATTCAAAACTTTCTCATTGTTTCTCTTATACTTTAAAAATTTGTTCTTCTATGGTATTCAAGGTTCAACAGAAATTTCAAGTATCTACAATACCAAGTAGTTTCAGAAAACGCTAAGAACAGAACAAAATGACATGGCTAACAGATGAAAAGAAGCAAAATGAAGTGTATAGGGTAGTGGAAAGACTTGTACATGTTAATAAGAGTTAGGTATTTACCTCCATTAGAAATGTATAATGGGAGTGATCATTAGGTAATCTGAGATACTGCAATAGGATATTGTTAAATTTAAGTCATGGTATTGTTTTAATTCTAATACTTCCTCCAGCTACAGCAGGTGGTTTCTAGATAATGAGTATAGAATCAAACCACTTTGGTAAAGACCTTAGCATTTGTGTATTATATTAAAAAAAATCTTATTTCATTTGTGAAATCAGTGTGATCTCACTTCAGAAGGATACAACACAAGCTTTACAAAGCAATAACTGTGGTATGTAACCTTTGTGTTGCGAAGATTCACTTTCATGAAAATTTAAAAGAATTTACCTGAATATATCTAAATAAATATAAATTTGTTAATAGTTAAGAAAGGGTGAAATCAGCAGTTCTTTCAACTGCAATGCTGTTACATGAATATATTCCTAATTTCAAGTATTGTTTGTTTTGGGTGGCATTTGGGTTTTTCTTTCAATATTCAAATTTTTCTGTGGCATCCCAAATTACATTTTTTGTAGTGATATTTTTCTTGTGAATATCATTAACATAAATGTAACAACACACATTGTAGTTATCCAACTTTTGAACTGGATATGATGGATAACTATCCAATGTTTAAATTAACTTTTAGGATATGTCAAACATTTCGATACAAACCTTTTATTTCTTTTACCAGAATGCTTTTAGCCAGAGCCTCTGACTTTCTGTGAATGCATGTTAAAGTGATATACAGAGCATAAAAAAATTATAGACATACTTTATGTCTACTATACTATACTACAAATAAAATTAACTGTCACAATCTGAGTTTCTTATTTTAGCTAAAAGATAAATAATAGTTCAGTACATGGTAAAAACTATTATATTCATTATTTAAAAACTTGCTGCTCATCTATGCTACAAAAATATACAACAATAGTTGAACACATTCATGTAATAATGCCTTGGTAAATATAATTTTGCCATAACCTTCTCAGTACTAAAAAAAAGTATTGTCAATACACATTACAGGCAGATTTTGTATGTTAATTAAAAGTATATATATAATGGCAGTTTTTACTTACTTACATGATTTTGGTAGTTTGAATACACACATAATTTCTTGTTGTATGAATAACAAGATATCCAGTACAAGCCACTCCTGAAATTAAAGCTTCTATAACATGTTAAAATCTAGTTCATATTTATAAGCAAACCTAGTCAAAGTTATATCATTCAGTCTTCTATTTATAAATCATTTCTAGATATAAAACATTCTGAGTACACACTATCTTTACAGACTTCTGTTTTAATCTGCAGGATAAGCAAATTCGTCAATAATCTATTTTTAACACCAGTACTATAAAAACTAACAAAAGTATTAATTAGTTTGTAAAAAAATACAAGCTTAAGAGATGATAATTAGCAAATCAAGCTAATTGTAGGCAATTTTTTTTTTTTACCAGGAAACTTTTTTAATACCATCTTAAAAAAATAAAATAAAACCAACCACAGTTGAAAAAGTAGTAGTTTACAGACTGTAATAATCTCTATATAGGGGATACTGGTAGGAATTTAAGTTCTAGAATAGCCGAACATGGGCATACTTCATCACGTTAACCAATATCTTAAGGATATAGAACACTGTAGTAAGAATTAAACTGTTGAAAACATAATACTAATAAATGTAAAATAATAAAAGCTATTTTAATAAAGGAATACAAACCTATAATAAATAAAACATGAGTAAGTTTATACTTATGCTAAGCTCAAGGTTACATTTGTGACATCATCAGTGGGTGAATTTAATTGTCATGTCTAGTTGTGCTAAGTACCTGATGATGCCATGTTAACAGTGGGAAAACATGTTTTTATTTTATATATTTTTGCCCCATTTTAGCTGTTTTCTGAATTTTTAAAATAATTTAAAGTAGTCTGCTTTTTATCTCAAAATAAAGGAACATTACCTGAATAGATAATTTTACAAAACTAGTTAAGACCTATTTTAGAGATTAAATTTTTAATGACTATTAAAGGTTTCCTTTGTTTTTTACATTTCACAGAAACAGAACTAGTGGCATTAGCAACAGATGTATTCTGAGTAATAGAAGTGTTCAGTATCTATGTATGTATCTAATAGGTATTATTTATATGTAATGTGCTAAATACTCTTAACTGTTCTTCATCCCACCAAAGCATATAAATTTATATAAGATGATTCAGATGCAATAAAAGAACATTTCTGAATGTGAATATGCACATTACAGGGTAGAAACCTATTATAGTCAGTTGTCTAGATTACAGAGAAAAACTAATGAAATGTACAAAAGATATATTTAGAGGTATTCACAGAGTTGTGTGTAAAGAAAAGAAAAGAAAAATAAGTTCTATTTCAACATATAATGTAAGATATAAAAAATGTGTAACTGGATAATAGGTACATTAATTTCATCAGCAATGAGACAAAGTGAGATTGAAAATACCTCTGCAGAAAGCTGTACATATTTTTAGTTTGATGGTTTGAATATCATTTAGATGTTTAGCTTTATTTCAAATTGTCAGAGGGATAAGACTCATTCATCTTTTATTTGAAATACAAGTTAGGCAAAATTATCAAAATATATTTATATTATATTAAATATTAACATGTAAATGACAAATGATTCTGAAAGACAAACTACAATTCTGTCTTTAGCCTAAAGCCATCTTCTATCATTAGGAGGTTCTTTGTAATTTCTAAAAACTGGTTCACAACTAAACCTATATCAACTTGATGGTCTTCATTCATGGCTGTATCAACCAGAAATGACTGAACAATATTCTGTAAACAATTTCTCCACTGAAGTATAAGTTCAGCTTCTCTTCTGGAACAACTGAATCGAAGACGCTTCTGGCCGTCAATCACCAATATGACATTATTCTGTGTCTCACTTTCACTAATGTCTGATGGTGATGGCTAGTAGGTTTAAAAAAACATTAGTTTTCATATTTATCTTTTTTGTGATAATTGTATATCTACAAACACAGCCTACAACATACTTAGTATTTTATAGATCTGTTATTACTAATAAATATTCTCACAATTCAAAATATTAATTACAAGTACAGTTTATTTTTCAGGTCAGAATATAAATACTGTTAAATAATATTAAGTCATTATGTAAAACAAGTTTAACTTTCCTAAAACACACACACACTTTAATAACTTGATCTTCATACATGTGAATTTTTTCACATAATTTCTTTCATTTTTTTCAAATAGTTTATAGTATGGATAAAAAATAAATAAACACAGTACTGTGACATATCAACTTCTATTTATCCATAATCAGTTACCAGTTACACTACTCAGTTACTTACAAGTTGTATTCCAACTTCTTCACCTCCAAACAGAAGCAGTGCCATATTAGGTATGCAAGATAAGTCTCTGACAAGAACCATTCCTCTTTCTTGTGATCTCATGCTATTGAAATAAACAAGCCAAGGACTTGGTAACCCAGCTATTTCTTGGGATACCACAGATTCTTTCTGGATACACGCAGGCTTACCATTTCTGAGTAACAGAAAAATATGTTGTCATTCTTTCAGGAAACAACTTTGTTTAATGACATCAAAAACTGTAAGGATGGTTAATAGAAAATTACATCAAAGTACTTTCAAACTCAAGGATCAATTATGTTTAACTACATACTGTAATATGATCTAGAAATGTTCAAATGAAGTACTAATAGGAAAAAGATACCAGGCATAAAGAAATGATAGCACAATATAGATACATAGCTAATATTAGGGGCTAGGTACATGTTTAAAACAATTATTAGAAGGACTACGTACATGTTTCAAACAATTTTTAGAAGGACTATGTACATGTTTCAAACGATCACTAAAAGGACTATGTACATGTTTCAAACAATCACTAAAAGGACTAAGTACATGCTTTAAGATGTTTCAAGTAGGGTCTAGGTATATGTTTTACCAACTAGCATGATTAATGTTCATGCTTTACAGTGATAATAGTAGGACCAAATTTTATGATTTACAAAACTACTAGCAGGGTCAGGTTAATACTTTACAGACCTACTATTAGGTTAGGTCAGGGATAGAAATAATGAAATAAACTTACATTTAATCGAGGGAAAGCTATCAGGAAAATTACATTCCCTCATGCAAAGTTGTATTTCCTCATTCATTTTTTTAAAATTTATCCATGCAATATGTTCACTTTCACAGGTCGTAACTAAAGGAATACAGATGGACCATGCATTCCCGATTGGGAAAGTCAACTAAAAAGATTCCTCAGGAATGTAACATTTCAATTCCTGTAGGCTCATTCTTTAAGAGTTCTACTAGTATAGTCTACATATATATTTTACAATGCTAATAGCAGGGTTATATTCTTGCTTGACAATGCTACTAGCAGGGTTATATTCTTGCTAGACAATGCTACTAAAAAACGTCTAGGAATATGCTTTAGAGGGCTAATAACAGGGTTAGGTAATGTTTTACAATGCCACTTGTAGGGTTTTGGTATATCCTGTATAGAGTTGGGGTAGAGAAAATAACAGACAAAATATAGTTTAATGAAAAAAACATTTGAAATTTATTTAGGAGATTTTAGAGATTACACAAATGAAATTTGTGGATTTTCAGATGAAGGAAACTATTTTTAATCTTAACAAGAATATCACTTTGCAGTCGGAGCAGTGAACACTTTGACTATGTATTCATGTAGAATTTTTAGAGAAAATACTTCATTAAAAAATTTCTGATTTTTTGTCTAGAAAAGACTCTTAATGCTTACTGAAAGCTTGCAAAATTTTGTGAAGGTATACAAAACATATTAGAAATTATAGCATGGAAACTATAAAGATCAATTTTGGGTCACAAAATTGGCCAAATCGACCAAGCCCATAGAGAGAGAGTATTAATTAGATTTTAAATGTTACTCTGTAAAAAGTCATGACATGCACACTTTGACCCTGCAGTGCATAAAAAGTTAAATGGTAATAAAATTTTCCATATATTCAAGTATTTTTTCTGTTTCCAAGCAAAAAGAAGTTAATAACAGTGAAGTGTTAGTCACTTCAGTTACTATTAGTAAATAAACTTTTGATTCTAGAATCACATGTTTGACATCAAAAATAAAATTTAGTTATTCATATTACTCTACATTTGCAAAACAACGACAAAATTATTAGATAAGAAAATAATCACTCACAGAGTCATGGGAGTAACTGCATCCCACTTGATCCTTCCTCGCTGAAGATCTCCCTTCTGTAAATGCAGAACATTAGGATAGAGAGCTGCAACCATAGCACCCATAACCATGGCAACATTATTACAGTACTGATTGTGATCCTGATTTAAGTCTTCACAAGACTCCACACTATCCACAAGGCAAGCATCGTACAGGTGCTCTGAAAAGACCCGCTTCAAACCTGTAACAGTAGTCAAATAACACATGACAGTATTAGTACACATTTTGATGAAAATAACTCCATATTTCAAAATGTAATAACATCATATTTTTCAATCAGTCAAACAGTATGGACAATTTAAACAAACATGTAATAATTGTCCAGAGAAAATGTGATTCCCTTAACCCAATGACCACCACAGCTACTAACTTTCTGAGTAGCCAATGCAAGTCTTGCTATATTTTATTCCAACATTAAAACTAGAGGATGAAACTGCTTGAAACTTCATAAGAACTTTCATAAATGCATGTAGTCTAAGAAACATAAAGCCTGTTACTTTTGATAAATTTAGTTAGTTTGCATTATGATCTTTAATATCTTGGAAATTTACATTAGGAAATGGTATTTATAAGATATGATTACAATATTTATATTTGTTCCAGATTTGAACTTATTACTTTTTATGTTTTAGTACAGTATTTTGAAATCCCCAAAAAATTGTATTGTCCATCAAATGCAAATTTTATCTATTTTTAATTTCTTTAATAATCATGTACTCTCCTTATGGTTTCAAATAATATACAAGACCCAAAAATAATATTTGTAAATAAACCTAAATAATAAATGAGTATTTTTACTTTTAACTAGGATTTCATGTTTATATATGTACATAAAAAACATTTTAATTTTGTTTTATAAATGTATATTTATTTCAAGTTTATGTTTCATGGCAGACATGCTTTTGTTTACTGTGTCGAATAAATCATGAGGTTAGCAGTGTGAACTTTGTACATTAACTGTAAACTATCATGCCTGTTGGTGATCACTCTCGTTCAGTCCAGCGCAGGCGCATTTCAACATTACTGTAGATATGATAGTAAGAAAGCTTTTCTGTACTTGAATATCATTTCTTTGAACTTTCAAACAAGTTTAATTCAATATATGTCCATGTATGTTGTTTCACTATACGGACAAAACTAATTGCCACTACTAGCAAATGTATGTAACAGTTTACAGTACAGGTGGTTAGAATAACACCGCCTGACCATAGTTACTTGATACATCCTGTTAGAAGAGATTACCAAACGATACAGAGACCATAAATTACAAAGAAAATTACTTTACAGCACTTAAAAGATTAGTCCTGGTCACATTCCTCTCATTATAGGCAAGATTTATGTTGGAATTCGAAACTTAAGCTATTCTACTGTATGAACTAGATATAAAATTATGCTAAATTATCAAACTTAAAACTACAAATTTAAATGCAAAAGAGTATAAAAAAATCACAAACTCTTT